GCCCAGTGGTGCAATCCCACACTTCACTTTAAGTTCCAGGGAAATAGGTCTCAGAGCCCTTTGAGATGCTCTCTGATAAGACTGAGGGGCATGGAGATGGAGAGGAGGAAAGTGTCAACATCTTATGTTTGCTTCTCCCCCATTCCGCTTCCTCTATGCAGCTCAGAAGGCCTTTGATGCCTCTTAGGGGAGACTTGGCCTTGGGGAACCTGCCCACAGGTGCCCTTTGCAAACCACGCAAGGAGGAAGTTGTAGAGATGAACAGGCCCAGAGGAATTCCCAGTGGGCACCAGAGAAATGAGGTTATTCTAAAACCAAAACCAAATGTCAGAATGGGTCTTTCCAGCCACAGCCGGCAAAATTCAGGGACTAACCAGGCCCTGGGTTTTCCATACCATGTCCTGGGAGGTCGTAAACAAGTAGAATGGCAAGAGCATGGGCGTGAGGTCAGTGTCGCGGCTGCCAATTTGATTCTGTCACCTGTTCTTGTGACACCAGGCAGGTGATTCAACCTGTCTGAGCTTTGTTTTATCATTTGAAAATTGGGGGAAGGGAATTAGAGATCACCTCTGTAAAGAACATTGCCCAATACAAGAAAAGTAGATGTTCAATAGCCAGGAACTATAATTGAACTGTGAGAGAACTTTGAGAGAGAGAGAGAGAAAGAAACTGAGAGACACACACACATCAGTTTGTTGTTCCACTTACTTCTGCATTCATTGGTTCTTTCTGGTATGTGCCCTGACCGGGGATCAAACCCGCAACCTTGGTGTATGTGGACGATGCTCTAACCAACTGAGCTACCTGGCCAGGGCTGGTAAATTTTTTTAATTTTCTTTTTAAAATAACAAGATGTTTTAAATTAATCCAATTAACAAAGATTTTTAAATAGAATAGCTAATGTTGGCAAGTATGTACATAACCAAGTGCCCTCAACGTTTCTGGAAGGAGTTTGCTTTCGTACCCTGTGCCCCCAGGTCTTCTATATCTTCTCCCACACCTCATAGTGAAAACATTTTCCCACTTTTGATGAAGACTGATGCGAAGGAAGATTTCATTTTTCCACTAAATTTGCATAAGAAAAACAGAGTAAGCATGAGATGAGTGGCAACGAATAAGGCCTCTGTAGTGAGGAGACAAAAGGAAGGCCAGGGAGAGCCCATCCTTCCCAGAGGGGCGGCCGCTCCACAGCTGTAGCTGGTGGTGCCAATGGTGGGGCTGGCACCTAGCCCGGGGAGCCTGTCCTTGTCTTTCATGGTGGGCACTGCCCTGCTGTGCCAGTTGTTAACTATTTTACACATCACCTCTCTCAGGTGATTATGACACCAATGGTGCCCTATTTTCCAATTGTTCAACAGAAGACAAAAATTCAGATCTTTTTATAAAAGCACCTGATTTTTTAAGTGTCGGCAACACATTTTTAAAAAATTTGAACACTCTCCTGGCCAAACAAAACATAGCTGTGGGCCAGGCGTGGCCTGTGGACCCCGGCGTGGTGCCTCTGCCCTAACAGGTAGGCTGTGTGAAATGCCTGTAGGCAGGGAAGCCGTTCAGATTCTTCCACAAGAGGAATGGGCTCAGCAATTCAGTCGGCCACTTTCCCAAATATTGCTACATTCTGCACCAGTGTTTCTCAACAGGTGCAGTAGCAACATTTGGGGTCAGATGAGTCTCTCTGCTGGGCGCTGTCCTGTGCCTTGTGGGGTGTTGGATGTCATCCCTGGCCTCTACCTCCTAGATGCCAGCCCCAGCTGGGGCAACCCAAATGTCTCCAGACAGTGCCACATGTCCTCCCAGAGGCCAAATCACCCCTGTTTGAAAACCAGTGCCCTAAGAAAAAGAGAGCTTTGGAAAACAGGAGTATATGTTAGTTATAATGTAACAGACGCTATCAATGAGGACCAAGTTGTGCGATGATAAATGGATGCTGATTAGCAAGCCTGATTTATCAAGAATTTCCTGAGCACCTAGTTCATCCTTTACACTGAGCTGGACATTATGAGGGAAGGAAAAAGAAATATAGGCTATAGTTCCAGGTTGCAAATCCTGGATAATAATTTGTAATTTTTTAAATTGAAATATAGTGACAGAAACATAGAGAAAAATCTACCTCCTCAACTGTCACTTGATGTGGTTCAATCAAGACTCAAATTATCCATCTCATTTCCATGTGACCATGGGCAAGTTGCTAGCTCTCTCCCTGGGCCTGTCTCCTCTCCTCTATAATGGGGCCGAGCAATACCTGTTTTGTTGGCTGCTGAGAGGGCGAACTGGGCTAGCCGTCAGCATGGTTTCTGGCCCATAGTTGGGTTAGGGGAGCTAGATTTCCTTTCTTGTTCCCCTCAGTTTCATTTTTTTTTTAAAGAACTGAAAACCTTTCCATGACAGTCTCATCTGATTAAAGTGATTGCTGAAAGTTGTTCAGACCCTTCAGGTGCCAGATAAATACACCTCCCTTCCGCTGCCAACTTCCTTCCTGCCCAGAGAGTTTCCTTTAAAAGCACCTTTCAGTAACTTTGTGTAGAATTCATTTTTCTGTGCTCAGCACTATCCCATTCTCTGCCCTGGTTGGCAGGGCAGCTCCAGGACCCGGGAGAAGTCAGTCACCCAGGGGGAGGGCACTGGGCTGCGCAGGGCACTGGCCGGCTGAGGTCTGGGAATCTGCTGCTGCTAAGCCACCTCGTGTTTCCTCCAGGGGCCCACGCAGTCCTCTTAGCTCATAGGCCGCTCATAGACTCCTGAGAGCTGTTACCAGGGCTCAGTGTCACCACCCGCAGAGGGCACTGTTCAGAACTTCCCAAGCATCCCGCAGCACGTTAGCCAGGTTCCCCTTTCCCTTTCCCTCTGTCCCGGATGCCCCTCCTAGCCTCGGCCCCTGTGCATTCAGCCTGCCAGATGGCTCAATTATCTGCGTCTGTGAAGTCTCCCCACCCCCACCCCAGTCCCAGGTGAGACTGGGAGACTCTTCTGTTGGTTCCCTTGAGCCCCACCTGCTGTTCCC